GTGTCCATCAAGTGCCCTATTGTATGACAGCAACGGTTCAGATGTATGTCCATCAAGTGTCCTATTGTATGACAGCTCTGGTTCAGATGTGTGTCCATCAAGTGCCCTATTGTATGACAGCTCTGGTTCAGATGTGTGTCCATCAAGTGCCCTATTGTATGACAGCTCTGGTTCAGATGTGTGTCCATCAAGTGTCCTATTGTATGACAGCAACGGTTCAGATGTGTGTCCATCAAGTGCCCTATTGTATGACAGCAACGGTTCAGATGTGTGTCCATCAAGTGCCCTATTGTATGACAGCAACGGTTCAGATGTGTGTCCATCAAGTGCCCTATTGTATGACAGCTCTGGTTCAGATGTGTGTCCATCAAGTGCCCTATTGTATGACAGCAATGGTTCAGATGTGTGTCCATCAAGTGTCCTATTGTATGACAGCAACGGTTCAGATGTGTGTCCATCAAGTGCCCTATTGTATGACAGCTCTGGTTCAGATGTGTGTCCATCAAGTGCCCTATTGTATGACAGCTCTGGTTCAGATGTGTGTCCATCAAGTGTCCTATTGTATGACAGCTCTGGTTCAGATATGTGTCCATCAAGTGCCCTATTGTATGACAGCAACGGTTCAGATATGTGTCCATCAAGTGTCCTATTGTATGACAGCTCTGGTTCAGATGTGTGTCCATCAAGTGCCCTATTGTATGACAGCTCTGGTTCAGATGTATGTCCATCAAGTGTCCTATTGTATGACAGCTCTGGTTCAGATGTGTGTCCATCAAGTGTCCTATTGTATGACAGCAACGGTTCAGATATGTGTCCATCAAGTGCCCTATTGTATGACAGCTCTGGTTCAGATGTGTGTCCATCAAGTGTCCTATTGTATGACAGCAACGGTTCAGATATGTGTCCATCAAGTGTCCTATTGTATGACAGCAACGGTTCAGATGTGTGTCCATCAAGTGTCCTATTGTATGACAGCAACGGTTCAGATATGTGTCCATCAAGTGCCCTATTGTATGACAGCTCTGGTTCAGATGTGTGTCCATCAAGTGTCCTATTGTATGACAGCTCTGGTTCAGATGTGTGTCCATCAAGTGCCCTATTGTATGACAGCTCTGGTTCAGATGTGTGTCCATCAAGTGTCCTATTGTATGACAGCAACGGTTCAGATATGTGTCCATCAAGTGCCCTATTGTATGACAGCTCTGGTTCAGATATGTGTCCATCAAGTGTCCTATTGTATGACAGCTCTGGTTCAGATGTGTGTCCATCAAGTGCCCTATTGTATGACAGCTCTGGTTCAGATATGTGTTCATCAAGTGTCCTATTGTATGACAGCAACGGTTCAGATGTGTGTTCATCAAGTGTCCTATTGTATGACAGCTCTGGTTCAGATGTGTGTCCATCAAGTGCCCTATTGTATGACAGCTCTGGTTCAGATGTGTGTTCATCAAGTGTCCTATTGTATGACAGCAACGGTTCAGATGTGTGTCCATCAAGTGTCCTATTGTATGACAGCAACGGTTCAGATGTGTGTCCATCAAGTGTCCTATTGTATGACAGCTCTGGTTCAGATGTGTGTCCATCAAGTGCCCTATTGTATGACAGCTCTGGTTCAGATGTGTGTCCATCAAGTGTCCTATTGTATGACAGCTCTGGTTCAGATGTGTGTCCATCAAGTGTCCTATTGTATGACAGCTCTGGTTCAGATGTGTGTCCATCAAGTGCCCTATTGTATGACAGCTCTGGTTCAGATGTGTGTCCATCAAGTGCCCTATTGTATGACAGCTCTGGTTCAGATGTGTGTCCATCAAGTGTCCATTGTATGACAGCTCTGGTTCAGATGTGTGTCCATCAAGTGTCCTATTGTATGACAGCTCTGGTTCAGATGTGTGTCCATCAAGTGCCCTATTGTATGACAGCTCTGGTTCAGATGTGTGTCCATCAAGTGTCCTATTGTATGACAGCTCTGGTTCAGATGTGTGTCCATCAAGTGCCCTATTGTATGACAGCTCTGGTTCAGATGTGTGTCCATCAAGTGTCCTATTGTATGACAGCTGCTGCATTTATGGAAACCTCCTTGGATGGCAGGGTGGACCAATCTGCCCTAGATGGATTTCCTAGGGACAACAGCTGTGGATCATGGAATGGTAAAGTCGCCACATATATAATGCTACAAACACCCTAGGAAACTAGCCAGGAAGAATAACCTTGATAACCTGAACATATGCATAATGAAGATGAATGTGTCGGCTGAAAGGCATACACATCACAGGTATGCTGTAAACAGGCCCATTTCTGTCACTCGGTTAAATAAAGAAGATGGAGGGTGTAATATCAGTCATGTTTGCAGGCAAAAATGTCATTTAGTGCTAGGAACAAGAAGTACTCGGACATCTCGGGAGGCAAAAACTAGAATGTGTCTGGCAAGATACTGGTAGATGACTGATGGATGTATCTATGGAATAATGTCTGCTTGTCATACTGGCTTGTACATCTCTGATGTGTCTGGCAAGATACTGGTAGATGACTGATGGATGTATCTATGGAATAATGTCTGCTTGTCATACTGGCTTGTACATCTCTGATGTGTCTGGCAAGATACTGGTAGATGACTGATGGATGTATCTATGGAATAATGTCTGCTTGTCATACTGGCTTGTACATCTCTGATGTGTCTGGCAAGATGCTGGTAGATGACTGATGGATGTATCTATGGAATGTCTGCCTGTCATACTGGTTTGTACATCTCTGATGTGTCTGGCAAGATACTGGTAGATGACTGATGGATGTATCTATGGAATGATGTCTGCTTGTCATACTGGCTTGTACATCTCTGATGTGTCTGGCAAGATACTGGTAGATGACTGATGGATGTATCTATGGAATGTCTGCCTGTCATACTGGCTTGTACATCTCTGATGTGTCTGGCAAGATGCTGGTAGATGACTGATGGATGTATCTATGGAATAATGTCTGCTTGTCATACTGGCTTGTACATCTCTGATGTGTCTGGCAAGATGCTGGTAGATGACTGATGGATGTATCTATGGAATGATGTCTGCTTGTCATACTGGCTTGTACACTGGCAAGATACTGGTAGATGACTGATGCATGTATCTATGGAATAATGTCTGCTTGTCATACTGGCTTGTACATCTCTGATGTGTCTGGCAAGATGCTAGTAGATGACTGATGGATGTATCTATGGAATGATGTCTGCTTGTCATACTGGCTTGTACACTGGCAAGATACTGGTAGATGACTGATGCATGTATCTATGGAATAATGTCTGCTTGTCATACTGGCTTGTACATCTCTGATGTGTCTGGCAAGATGCTGGTAGATGACTGATGGATGTATCTATGGAATGATGTCTGCTTGTCATACTGGCTTGTACACTGGCAAGATACTGGTAGATGACTGATGCATGTATCTATGGAATAATGTCTGCGTGTCATACTGGCTTGTACATCTCTGATGTGTCTGGCAAGATGCTGGTAGATGACTGATGGATGTATCTATGGAATGATGTCTGCTTGTCATCTTGGCTTGTACACTGACAAGATACTGGTAGATGACTGATGGATGTATCTATGGAATAATGTCTGCTTGTCATACTGGCTTGTACACTCGCAAGATGCTGGTAGATGACTGATGGATGTATCTATGGAATGATGTCTGCTTGTCATACTGGCTTGTACATCTCTGATGTGTCTGGCAAGATGCTGGTAGATGACTGATGGATGTATCTATGGAATGTCTGCCTGTCATACTGGCTTGTACATCTCTGATGTGTCTGGCAAGATGCTGGTAGATGACTGATGGATGTATCTATGGAATGATGTCTGCTTGTCATACTGGCTTGTACATCTCTGATGTGTCTGGCAAGATGCTGGTAGATGACTGATGGATGTATCTATGGAATAATGTCTGCTTGTCATACTGGCTTGTACATCTCTGATGTGTCTGGCAAGATACTGGTAGATGACTGATGGATGTATCTATGGAATGTCTGCCTGTCATACTGGCTTGTACATCTCTGATGTGTCTGGCAAGATACTGGTAGATGACTGATGGATGTATCTATGGAATAATGTCTGCTTGTCATACTGGCTTGTACATCTCTGATGTGTCTGGCAAGATACTGGTAGATGACTGACAGATGTATCTATGGAATAATGTCTGCTTGTCATACTGGCTTGTACATCTCTGATGTGTCTGGCAAGATACTGGTAGATGACTGATGGATGTATCTATGGAATAATGTCTGCTTGTCATACTGGCTTGTACACTGGCAAGATACTGGTAGATGACTGATGGATGTATCTATGGAATAATGTCTGCTTGTCATACTGGCTTGTACATCTCTGATGTGTCTGGCAAGATACTGGTAGATGACTGATGGATGTATCTATGGAATAATGTCTGCTTGTCATACTGGCTTGTACATCTCTGATGTGTCTGGCAAGATACTGGTAGATGACTGATGGATGTATCTATGGAATAATGTCTGCTTGTCATACTGGCTTGTACATCTCTGAAGCAATAATGTGGCACAGCATAACAATACGCGAATATCTGTCAATCTCTGATTCTTACTCAGAGACTTACATAGAACAACATCAATAAATATGATAGTTTTCAGACTAACAGATTATCACCTCAGATTTAACATCCTTCTCCATACTCACATGTCATGCACTCAACACAGTAGAACCTCACACTTCATAGACTCAGCACTGATACACTCTACACTTTGTAGATTTAGCATGACAGACTTCAGAGACTCAACACTGACAAATTCCAAACTTCATGGACAAGCACTGACAAACCCAGCACTTCATGGACAAGCACTGACAAACTCCACAGTTCAGTGAATCAACACAGACAGACCCCACACTTCTCAAACAAACAAACCCTGCATTTCATGAACTCAATGCTGACAAATCACACACTCAGGGACTCAACTGACAAACCTCAGATTTAAACACCTTCAAAATCTAATCATAAACAACATCAACAACATCTTGGTCTTCCATGTCCAGCTTGCCGGGAGTGTCTGTAGGCTCAATGTCCTCACCATCAAATGAAAACACAAAGGAATTAGCTTCAGCATTGACAAGCTGGGCATATTTCTGAATGACATCACTGAGAGGACGCCGCTGAAATCACCAGGAAAATGCAGCATGTCAAAACAACTGAACAGTTTATTTATGTGGTGTTCAATGTTTATTCAGTAGGTGTGGGGAATAAAACACCACAATTCAGCTGACAGTACACCAGTTCAGAAGGTGAACTTTTAGTCAGACAAGGATGTGTTTACAACAGCCTCACACCTTGAGTAACACAAAGATGTTTACAACAGCCTCACACATTGAGTAACACAAAGATGTTTACAACAGCCTCGCACCTTGAGTAACACAAAGATGTTTACAACAGCCTCGCACCTTGAGTAACACAAAGATGTTTACAACAGCCTCGCACCTTGAGTAACACAAAGATGTTTACAACAGCCTCACACCTTGAATAACACAAAGATGTTTACAACAGCCTCGCACCTTGAGTAACACAAAGATGTTTACAACAGCCTCACACCTTGAATAACACAAAGATGTTTACAACAGCCCCACACCTTGAGTAAGACAAAGATGTTTACAACAGCCCCACACAGTGAGTAAGACAAAGATGTTTACAACAGCCCCACACAGTGAGTAAGACAAAGATGTTTACAACAGCCCCACACAGTGAGTAAGACAAAGATGTTTACAACAGCCCCACACAGTGAGTAAGACAAAGATGTTTACAACAACCCCACACCTTGAGTAAGACAAAGATGTTTACAACAGCCTCACACCTTGAGTAAGACAAAGATGTTTACAACAGCCCCACACAGTGAGTAAGACAAAGATGTTTACAACAGCCCCACACAGTGAGTAAGACAAAGATGTTTACAACAGCCCCACACAGTGAGTAAGACAAAGATGTTTACAACAGCCCCACACAGTGAGTAAGACAAAGATGTTTACAACAGCCCCACACACTGAGTAAGACAAAGATGTTTACAACAGCCCCACATCTTGAGTAAGACAAAGATGTTTACAACAGCCCCACACAGTGAGTAAGACAAAGATGTTTACAACAGCCCCACACACTGAGTAAGACAAAGATGTTTACAACAGCCCCACATCTTGAGTAAGACAAAGATGTTTACAACAGCCCCACACACTGAGTAAGACAAAGATGTTTACAACAGCCCCACAAACTGAGTAGTCAAAGATGTTTACAACAGCCCCACACACTGAGTAAGACAAAGATGTTTACAACAGCCTCACACCTTGAGTATCACAAAGATGTTTACAACAGCCCCACACACTAAGACAAAGATGTTTACAACAGCCCCACACATTGAGTAAGACAAAGATGTTTACAACAGCCCCACACCTTCAGTAAGATGAAGATGTTTACAAGAGCCTCACACCTTGAGTAACACAAAGATGTTTACAACAGCCCCACACACTGAGTAAGACAAAGATGTTTACAACAGCCTCACACCTTGAGTAACACAAAGATGTTTACAACAGCCCGACACACTGAGTAAGACAAAGATGTTTACAACAGCCCCACACCTTGAGTAACACAAAGACATTTACAACAGCCTCACACCTTGAGTAACACAAATATGTTCACAACAGCCCCACACACTGAGTAAGACAAACATGTTTACAACAGCCTCACACCTTGAGTAACACAAAGACATTTACAACAGCCTCACACCTTGAGTAAGACAAAGATGTTTACAACAGCCCCACACCTTCAGTAAGATGAAGATGTTTACAAGAGCCCCACACACTGAGTAAGACAAAGATGTTTACAACAGCCCCACACAATGAGTAAGACAAAGATGTTTACAACAGCCCCACACCTTCAGTAAGATAAAGATGTTTACAAGAGCCTCACAGATTCAGTCAGACAGACAAAGATGTTTACAACAGCCTCACACATTCAGTCAGACAGACAAGGATGTTTACAAGAGCCTTACAATTCAGACAGACAGACAAGGATGTTTACAACAGCCTTAGACATTCAGTCAGACAGACAAGGATGTTTACAACAGCCCCACACCTTCAGTAAGATAAAGATGTTTACAAGAGCCTCACAGATTCAGTCAGACAGACAAGGATGTTTACAACAGCCTCAGACATTCAGTCAGACAGACAAGGATGTTTACAACAGCCTCACACCCATGTGGCTTCATAGAAAAATATTAACATCGTGGCAGGCAAAAACTTTAATAAAGAAAACTGATTACCTGTATCAAATGGAAACACATTTTTGGGCACACCATGTAAAGAAGAAACCTGGAGTATATCGTGTTGGTGGGAAAAGTTGGAGCGGAAAAGAAACAGAGACAAACAGAGAGTGAATATGTTGACAGTCAGGCATCATGGCTTGGAAGAAGAGCTGTAGAAGAAATGACACAGTAGACAAGACAAATGGCAGGGGACAGTCATGATAGCCAACAGCGAATGCCAGGCAAGAGTTTGCCCTAATGAGCTGCATACCTTATTGGCTGTTATTGTGATCCGGCTCTTGCTGTTCTTGCACTGAATGACTAGCTCGATGGCGTCTGCTGCACTTACAGACTCTTCACTGACCTTGATGCAGTGACATTCTGAAGACAAAAATCACAATCATGGTGGACTTGTAAAACAAATAGGCTTCTTAAGTACAAACATAATCATACAATTCATGGACAAGCACTGACAAACCCCCACACCTCATAGACAAACCCCCACACCTCATGGACAAACCCCCACACCTCATGGACAAACCCCCCACACTTCATGGACAAACCCCCCACACCTCATGGACAAACCCCCACACCTCATGGACAAACCCCCACACTTCATGGACAAACCCCCACACCTCATGGACAAACCCCACACCTCATGGACAAACCCCACACTTCATGGACAAACCCCCACACCTCATGGACAAACCCCCACACTTCATGGACAAACCCCACACCTCATGGACAAACCCCACACCTCATGGACAAACTCCCACACCTCATGGACAAACCCCACACCTCATGGACAAACCCCACACCTCATGGACAAACCCCACACCTCATGGACAAACCCCTACACCTCATGGACAAACCCCCACACCTCATGGACAAACCCCCACAGTTCAGTGAATCAACACAGACAGACCCCAGATGCAATCAAAGTGAATCATTTAACTTGAACCAGGAGGCAAGTTCTACTTTTTCTTTGGGACAGATACATACACAAACAATGATATATGTCAAACAGGGTAGAGAAAACACAAGAAACGTTGCCCACTTTACTAGTATAATAAAGAATGGGCTTTTCCTGCCATGCTGGTTTATGTGTGTTATTTGTTTGTATTCATCAGCTGTAGACTCTGACAGAGAGTCCTGGCCGTGTAGACTTTGACAGAGAGTCCTGGCCGTGTAGACTTTGACAGAGAGTCCTGGCCATGTAGACTTTGACAGAGAGTCCTGGCCGTGTAGACTTTGACAGAGAGTCCTGGCTGTGTAGACTTTGACAGAAAGTCCTTGCTGTGTAGACTTTGACAGAAAGTTCTGGCTGTGTAGACTTTGACAGAGAGTCCTTGCTGTGTAGACTTTGACAGAGAGTTCTAGCTGTGTAGACTTTGACATAAAGTCCTGGCTGTGTAGACTTTGACATAAAGTCCTGGCTGTGTAGACTTTGACATAAAGTCCTGGCTGTGTAGACTTTGACAGAGAGTTCTAGCTGTGTAGACTTTGACAGAGAGTTCTAGCTGTGTAGACTTTGACAGAGAGTTCTAGCTGTGTAGACTTTGACAGAAAGTCCTGGCTGTGTAGACTTTGACATAAAGTCCTGGCTGTGTAGACTTTGACAGAAAGTCCTGGCTGTGTAGAGACTGTGTAGACTTTGACAGAAAGTCCTGGCTGTGTAGACTTTGACATAAAGTCCTGGCTGTGTAGACTTTGACAGAAAGTCCTGGCTGTGTAGACTTTGACAGTAAAGTCCTGCTGTGTAGACTTTGACAGTCCTGGCTGTGTAGACTTTGGAAAGTCCTGCTGTAGACTTTGACAGAAAGTCCTGGCTGTGTGTGTAGACTTTGACTTTGAAAGTCCTGGCTGTGTAGACTTTGACAGAGAGTCCTGGCTGTGTAGACTTTGACAGAAAGTCCTGACAGAAAGTCCTGGCTGTGTAGACTTTGACAGAAAGTCCTGGCTGTGTAGACTTTGACAGAAAGTCCTGGCTGTGTAGACTTTGACAGAAAGTCCTGGCTGTGTAGACTTTGACAGAAAGTCCTGGCTGTGTAGACTTTGACAGAAAGTCCTGGCTGTGTAGACTTTGACATAAAGTCCTGGCTGTGTAGACTTTGACAGAAAGTCCTGGCTGTGTAGACTTTGACATAAAGTAAGTTCTGGCTGTGTAGACTTTGACATAAAGTAAGTCCTGGCTGTGTAGACTTTGACAGAAAGTCCTGGCTGTGTAGACTTTGACAGAAAGTCCTGGCTGTGTAGACTTTGACATAAAGTAAGTCCTGGCTGTGTAGACTTTGACAGAAAGTCCTGGCTGTGTAGACTTTGACATAAAGTCCTGGCTGTGTAGACTTTGACATAAAGTCCTGGCTGTGTAGACTTTGACATAAAGTCCTGGCTGGTAGACTGTAAAGTCCTGGCTGTGTAGACTTTGACAGAGTCCTGGCTGTGTAGACTTTGACATAAAGTCCTGGCTGTGTAGACTTTGACAGAAAGTCCTGGCTGTGTAGACTTTGACATAAAGTCCTGGCTGTGTAGACTTTGACAGAGAGTCCTGGCTGTGTAGACTTTGACAGAAAGTCCTGGCTGTGTAGACTTTGACAGAAGTCCTGGCTGTGTAGACTTTGACAGAAAGTCCTGGCTGTGTAGACTTTGACACTTTGACAAGTCCTGGCTGTGTAGACTGGCTGTGTTTGACAGAAAGTCCTGGCTGTGTAGACTTTGACAGAAAGTCCTGGCTGGCTGGCTGTGTAGACTTTGACAGAGAGTCCTGGCTGTGTAGACTTGGTCCTGGCTGTGTAGACTTTGACAGAGAGTTCTGGCTGTGTAGACTTTGACAGTAAGTCCTGGCTGTGTAGACTTTGACAGAAAGTCCTGGCTGTGTAGACTTTGACATAAAGTCCTGGCTGTGTAGACTTTGACAGAAAGTCCTGGCTGTGTAGACTTTGACAGTAAGTTCTGGCTGTGTAGACTTTGACAGATAGTCCTGGCTGTGTAGACTTTGACAGTCCCTGGCTGTGTAGACTTTGAAGTCCTGGCTGTGTAGACTTTGACATAAAGTCCTGGCTGTGTAGACTTTGACAGAAAGTCCTGGCTGTGTAGACTTTGACATAAAGTCCTGGCTGTGTAGACTTTGACAGAAAGTCCTGGCTGTGTAGACTTTGACAGAGAGTCCTGGCTGTGTAGACTTTGACAGAGAGTCCTGGCTGTGTAGACTTTGACATAAAGTCCTGGCTGTGTAGACTTTGACATAAAGTCCTGGCTGTGTAGACTTTGACAGATAGTCCTGGCTGTGTAGACTTTGACAGAGAGTCCTGGCTGTGTAGACTTTGACAGAAAGTCCTGGCTGTGTAGACTTTGACAGTAAGTCCTGGCTGTGTAGACTTTGACAGAGAGTCCTGGCTGTGTCCTGGCTGTGTAGACTTTGACATAAAGTCCTGGCTGTGTAGACTTTGACAGTAGAGACAGAAGAGTCTGGCTGTGTAGACTTTGACATAAAGTCCTGGCTGTGTAGACTTTGACATAAAGTCCTGGCTGTGTAGACTTTGACATAAAGTCCTGGCTGTGTAGACTTTGACATAAAGTCCTGGCTGTGTAGACTTTGACATAAAGTCCTGGCTGTGTAGACTTTGACAGAGAGTCCTGGCTGTGTAGACTTTGACAGAAAGTCCTGGCTGTGTAGACTTTGACAGAGAGTCCTGGCTGTGTAGACTTTGACAGAGAGTTCTGGCTGTGTAGACTTTGACAGAAAGTCCTGGCTGTGTAGACTTTGACATAAAGTCCTGGCTGTGTAGAGACTTTGAAAGTTGGACAGACTTTGAGAAAGTCCTGGCTGTGTAGACTTTGACATAAAGTCCTGGCTGTGTAGACTTTGACAGAGAGTCCTGGCTGTGTAGACTTTGACAGAAAGTCCTGGCTGTGTAGACTTTGACAGAAAGTCCTGGCTGTGTAGACTTTGACAGTCCTGGCTGTGTAGACTTTGACAGAGAGTCCTGGCTGTGTAGACTTTGACAGAGAGTCCTGCTGTGTAGACTTTGTGTAGTCCTGGCTGTGTAGACTTTGACAGAGAGTCCTGGCTGTGTAGACTTTGACAGACTGGTAGTCCTGGCTGTGTAGACTTTGACAGAAAGTCCTGGCTGTGTAGACTTTGACAGAGAGTCCTGGCTGTGTAGACTTTGACATAAAGTCCTGGCTGTGTAGACTTTGACAGAGAGTCCTGGCTGTGTAGACTTTGACAGAAAGTCCTGGCTGTGTAGACTTTGACATAAAGTCCTGGCTGTGTAGACTTTGACAGAAAGTCCTGGCTGTGTAGACTTTGACAGTAAGTTCTGGCTGTGTAGACTTTGACAGAAAGTCCTGGCTGTGTAGACTTTGACATAAAGTCCTGGCTGTGTAGACTTTGACATAAAGTCCTGGCTGTGTAGACTTTGACAGAAAGTCCTGGCTGTGTAGACTTTGACAGAAAGTCCTGGCTGTGTAGACTTTGACAGAGAGTCCTGGCTGTGTAGACTTTGACAGAAAGTCCTGGCTGTGTAGACTTTGACAGAAAGTCCTGGCTGTGTAGACTTTGACAGAAAGTCCTGGCTGTGTAGACTTTGACATAAAGTCCTGGCTGTGTAGACTTTCCTGGCTGTGTAGACTTTGACATAAGTCCTGGCTGTGTAGACTTTGACAGAGAGTCCTGGCTGTGTAGACTTTGACAGAAAGTCCTGGCTGTGTAGACTTTGACAGTAAGTCCTGGCTGTGTAGACTTTGACAGAGAGTCCTGGCTGTGTAGACTTTGACAGAGAGTCCTGGCTGTGTAGACTTTGACAGAAAGTCCTGGCTGTGTAGACTTTGACAGAGAGTCCTGGCTGTGTAGACTTTGACATAAAGTCCTGGCTGTGTAGACTTTGACAGTAAGTCCTGGCTGTGTAGACTTTGACAGAAGTCCTGGCTGTGTAGACTTTGACATAAAGTCCTGGCTGTGTAGACTTTGACAGAAAGTCCTGGCTGTGTAGACTTTGACATAAAGAGTCCTGGCTGTGTAGACTTTGACAGAGAGTCCTGGCTGTGTAGACTTTGACAGAGAGTCCTGGCTGTGTAGACTTTGACATAAAGTAAGTTCTGGCTGTGTAGACTTTGACAGAGAGTCCTGGCTGTGTAGACTTTGACAGAAAGTCCTGGCTGTGTAGACTTTGACATAAAGTCCTGGCTGTGTAGACTTTGACAGAGAGTCCTGGCTGTGTAGACTTTGACAGAAAGTCCTGGCTGTGTAGACTTTGACAGAGAGTCCTGGCTGTGTAGACTTTGACATAAAGTCCTGGCTGTGTAGACTTTGACATAAAGTCCTGGCTGTGTAGACTTTGACAGTAAGTCCTGGCTGTGTAGACTTTGACCTGGCTGTGTAGACTTTGACATAAAGTCCTGCTGTGTAGACTTTGACTTTGAAAGTCCTGGCTGTGTAGACTTTGACATAAAGTCCTGGCTGTGTAGACTTTGACATAAGTTCTGGCTGTGTAGACTCTGGCTGTGTAGACTTTGACAGAAAGTCCTGGCTGTGTAGACTTTGACATAAAGTCCTGGCTGTGTGTAGTCCTGGCTGTGTAGACTTTGACATAAAGTAAAGTTCTGGCTGTGTAGACTTTGACAGAAAGGCTGGCTGTGTAGACTTTGACATAAGTAGTCCTGGCTGTGTAGACTTTGACAGAAAGTCCTGGCTGTGTAGACTTTGACATAAAGTCTGTGTAGACTGGCTGTGTAGACTTTGACAGAAAGTCCTGGCTGTGTAGACTTTGACATAAAGTAAGTTCTGGCTGTGTAGACTTTGACATAAAGTAAGTTCTGGCTGTGTAGACTTTGACATAAGTCCTGGCTGTGTAGACTTTGACATAAAGGCTGTGTAGACTTTGACAGAGAAAGTCCTGGCTGTGTAGACTTTGACATAAGAGTCCTGGCTGTGTAGACTTTGACATAAAGTCCTGGCTGTGTAGACTTTAGTCCTGGCTGTTAGACTTTGACATAAAGTCCTGGCTGTGTAGACTTTGACAGAGAGACAGACTTTGACAGTAAGTCCTGGCTGTGTAGACTTTGACAGAGAGTCCTGGCTGTGTAGACTTTGAGAGATAGTCCTTGCTGTGTAGACTTTGACAGAGAGTTGGGTTGTGTGGGTTGTGTTAATTTACTTTTCAATATCAGCTTGACCTCGGTCAGACCTATTTTGGCCTCCACTGTCCTAACTGACCAGACAAAATCAGATGGTGAAAGCATCTTGTGTGTCTGGTTTCTGCAGCGTGTTCCTCTCTTGCAGTGTCTCAGAACAAACACTGAGACTTAATTCTGTGCCAAAATGAGGATATGGAGGCAACACAATACCCACTACTCAACACACAGATGAGCACACACAGATGAGCACACACAGATGAGCACACACAGATGAGCACACACAGTTGAGCACACACAGATGAGTGTGTGGTTGAGATTAGTTGTATCCAGCATTTTATTTTATTGTGTGTCTTTACAATGAACCATACCCGTGTGGGATCCGGGGCCCCATTGTGGGGGAAAACAAGAATAGACCCACTGCCTACCAGAAAGCATGTCGTAGGAGTCGACTAATTGGTAGCTTCCTTTGAAGTCGGAGTGCATCTGCCTGAGAGGCAAGTGAATCAGATCTGTAAAACTAATGCACACGCAAAACTCAGGTTTTGGAGCAGGACTGCAGTCCAGGTGTGGACAAACAACCAGAACTTTCTGCCAGAGTGTACAGCTGGTGAACGACAAGAAGAAGACAATGAACCATAGCTACCATGGACATGAGCTTTCACTGTCTTATGCTGGTATCAAACTAATTTATTTCCTCAGAACTGAATAACTAAAACAAATGTTAGCACAAAACTAAATTAAATAGCCTTATGTTAGTGCTAAACTGAATCAAATAGCCTTATGTTAGTGCAAGACTGAATCAAATAGCCTTTTCCTGGTACAAAGCTGAACGATTAAGTGATGTGATTGTGCAAAATTGTAGTGAAAAACCAAATGTTAGTGCAAAACTGAATGAATCAAAACTAAATTAAAATGTAGTGTACACATGTTAGTGCAAAACTGAATCAAAAACGCCAACTACGATTAAGTGTTGTGCAAAATTGTAGTGATAAACCAAATGTTAGTTCAAAACCCAGCAAATGTTGGTTACACATGAAAAATCAGCACATTGTTGAGTCTATGATCATCTGCCACTATGATATCTGCCACAGTCAGATTCACAGAAGACGGGGTCTCTGACACCTCAAGTGATCTGTCATGAAGAAACAAGCCCAAGCTGTGTTCGGCCTCATCAATTTCTTGGCTCAGTTTACTTGTCAGTACATGGAATGGTTCATTCTGAGAAAACAAACACCAAATCAGTTAACTTCTGAACTGTATCTGTTCTGGGTAACCCAGTGGCATTTTTGTGAAAGTCATCTGTAACCTGGAGCCAGGCTAGAGCAGTGGCTATGTATTTGCCTGTTGGTCTTGGCTTTGACTCTGCATCGCAGCATATTTTTATAATTGATTCGGGGCTTAAAGGCTAAAATGAGTATATGGAAATGTCCAAGAAAGTAAAGGTTGCCACCATATAAACTAACGGTCTGGCATCACGTGCAGAAAAGAAGGATATGACAAAGAAGGGGAGGACATGGGGTCACCTGCACATAATGGCAAAAGACAGGACAAATTAGTGCAAGCTGGTTGTAAGGCTGTGCTCCAATGAAGGATAATGAGTGGCAGAAGGCAAAAGCACTGAGAGTGGAAATGTGCCCACAGAAATGTGACTTGCATACAGTCTGACTTGTCACGTATATTGGTGTCATTTTTAACTACAGAGCTGGAATGTGACAGGGAGTCGCTGCCACAGGGTGGTCATATGCTTGGGTGCCAGCTGAAGCTTTTGGGTTCAGATCTGCATTACAGTGGATTTTTATCATTGGTCTGGGTTTCCAGATCAGTACAGTAAAGAATAGGTACCCGGTGAAGTCCTTTGAAGTAATGGCAACCACCCTGAAGTTGTCATACCACCAGTCAAGTGCCAATTGGTCTCTACAAATGGAGTCTAGCACTATATGCCTGACATGCCAATGGCATGAAAAAGGCCTTGATCTGAGTACATGGTCTCCTCAACCTATGGTAGTACTGGCCTTGATCTGAGCACATGGTCTCCTCAACTTATGACAGTACCAACCTTGATCTGAGTACATGGTCTCCTCAACTTATGACAGTACCAACCTTGATCTGAGTACATGGTCTCCTCAACTTATGACAGTACCGACCTTGATCTGAGTACATGGTCTCCTCAACTTATGACAGTACCAACCTCGATCTGAGTACATGGTCTCCTCAACTTATGACAGTACCAACCTTGATCTGAGTACATGGTCTCCTCAACTTATGACAGTACCAACCTTGATCTGAGTACATGGTCTCCTCAACCTATGGTAGTACCGGCCTTGATCTGTGTACATGGATCACCCTCATGTTTATGACAGTACCAACCTTGATCTGAGTACATGGTCTTCTCAACTTATGGCAGTACCGACCTTGATCTGAGTACATGGTCTCCTCAACTTATGGCAGTACCGGCCTTGATCTGAGTACATGGTCTCCTTAACTTATGACAGTACCAGCCTTGATCTGAGTACACCACCTCCTCAACTTGTTGCCAGTACCGACCTTGATCTGAGTACATATGGTCTCCTCAATGTTATGGCAGTACCAACCTTGATCTGAGTACATGGTCTCCTCAACTTATGGACATACCACCGACTCTGATGTTGAGTACATACTACCTCCTTAACTTATGACAGTACCAGCCTTGATCTGAGTACATGGTCTCCTCAACTTATACATACCGACCTTGATCTGAGTACATGGTCTCCTCACTTATGACATACCACCAACCTTGATATGAGTACATGGTCTCCTCCACCCTGATGGCAGTACCGACCTTGATCTGAGTACATGGTCTCCTCAAACTTATGACAGTACCGACCTTGATCTGAGTACATACCTCCTCAACTTATGACAGTACCAACTTTGATCTGAGTACATGGTCTCCTTAACTTATGACAGTACCAGCCTTGATCTGAGTACATGGTCTCCTCAACTTATGACAGTACCGACCTTGATCTGAGCACATGGTCTCCTCAACTTATGACAGTACCGACCTTGATCTGAGTACATGGTCTCCTCAACTTATGACAGTACCAACTTTGATCTGAGTACATGGTCTCCTTAACTTATGACAGTACCAGCCTTGATCTGAGTACATGGTCTCCTCAACTTATGACAGTACCGGCCTTGATCTGAGCACATGGTCTCCTCAACCTATGGCAGTACCAGCCTTGATCTGAGCACATGGTCTCCTCAACTTATGACAGTACCGACCTTGATCTGAGCACATGGTCTCCTCAACCTATGGCAGTACCGGCCTTGATCTGAGTACATGGTCTTCTCAACCTATGACAGTACCGGCCTTGATCTGAGTACATGGTCTCCTCAACTTATGGCAGTACCAGCCTTGATCTAAGTACTTGGTCTCCTTCAACTTATGACAGTACAGTCCAAATTAACAGGTGCAAGTTGAATTTATATTTTCAAAACTAATTTTATCCAAACAAGTTATACAAATCTGCCAAAACAGCTCTCACATGGACACCAGAGGGAAAGAGAAAACAGGGGTGCCCAAAAACAACATGGAGACGAACGATGGAAAGTGACCTGAGTGCGGCATCTTTGACATGGAAAACTGCACTGAAGATTGCACAGGACAGAAAAGCATGGAAAGTCCTCTCTGAAGCCTCATGTGCCACTAGGCACAACGAGAACTGATGATGATGATGAAGTTATAAAAATTGTATTTAAAAAAATTTTTTTTAATGTAATCAATGTACATATATTTATTTGGGGTGGGGGGCGCACCTTTCAGTTTTTCCTTTTATCTGGAAATACTAAACGGTGCCCCCCCCCCCCACCCCCCCTCAAAAACATTGTGCTATGAGGAGGCACAGGACTGACAGCCTATGGCAACAGCAAGTGTTAAATAAGACACTCCCGTGTTAAGAAAAGTCTTCCACAATTACAGTAAAAGATTTCAGGACCAATGATGATATTATTTGTGTTAAGTCTGGTTCTTCTCAGACGTCCAGCTCTCATCTTTTCTGCAATCATTTCATCCTTCATTCTCATTCCGTTTCTAGTGTGCCGCCTCCACACAATATGGTCCATAGCATTTTGTTCCCACAAGTCCAACTCTATACCTGTATCATTCATGTCCCGCTTGGAAAGATCTTTATAATGGACCCATCCTCTGGCAGACATGTCTCCTGTAGGCCAGCAATATTTCAGTCAAGGTGAATGAGTTCGGCATCAATGACAGTCGTTTTTCTCATATCACTGATGTTTACCAGGTCAGTGGAAAACCCTGGACACATGGTCCTGACGTCCCATGTGGCAAGCCCAAGCTTGAAGTTATGTTTCTGTTTATTTTTCCTCCTCAGCATAAAGCCTGGGCAGTATTGTAGAGACCATCGGCTGCAGACACATCACAACCCCTTTCTTGACCTACCTTGTCTACTCCAAAGGCAAGGTAACACCAGCACGTGTGGAACAAAGCTGGTTGTAAATCATACGGGTCGTAAGTTGAGGTGTACCTTAATAACAGTGTCATAAAAAAATGTCCTCACAGCAGAAATACGCACAGGCAAAAACACCTGTTGTATGGAAGTGTGTAGACGAGTTAGAAAAGAACGAATCTGAGAAACGCTGAATCTGTTTTACAGAAGAGGAAGAAAAGGATGATTTGAAGGGACACATTAGCATCTTTGAAAAAAAGATGAAGCAAGATGATAAAACGAGCACACACTTACCAACTGCATCTGGATCCGATAAACTTTGGTCAGATAGCGAACTTTGACCACCAAGGTATTCTGTAGAGAATGCTCCTCGCCAACAATGATGACATCACTGTCACGCCGACGAGACTGTCTTCTGGGTGGTGTTACCTTGTTTAAAGAAATCTTGGCCTTGTTCAGTGTTCTGTGGGAGGTATTCACACATTGTGGTTAATAACAGATTAAACAAAGCTCTCAATTTTATACATAATAGTCGCCCACACAAGAGGTGGAATATACAGTCGTTGTAGTAGTCAAGGTTTCTACATCATCGCAGTCAGGTTTCATTCCTGTGCCAGTGCAAATCAAATGAAATGTCCCTCATTGTTCCAACTGAAAACAATCCAAGGTGGAATAAATGAGGTCATGAACACCAGCATTTAGGCAGCACTTACCAAGACTGGCATAAGATGTCTTTAAAACCTGGCACTGACAGTTAGAACAGGTCTATGGAAGAAGATTTCCCTTTATATGTAATTCCTTATTTTGTGCATAATCATTCACACACAATTCTCCATTTGACAGAACAGTTCACATTTATCTGTTCTTTTTGTGCCCTTTATCCCCCCCCCCCCCCCCCCATAGAGCACAGGCTCTCAAACAACTTATCCTATCCTTTGTTACTGGGTGCAGCTGACCCCATTCCCCCCTGTGTGGTTTTTTTTTCTCACTTTAATCTCTAACTCTATTTATGTTGTTTGTTGGTCTGCCATTATTCGCCGCACCCCGAGGGATCCAGGGCAATGAAATTCTAGTTATGTTGTTTGTTGGTCTGCCGTTATTCGCCGACCCCGAGGGATACAGGGCAATAAAATTCTAGTTATGTTGTTTGTTGGTCTGCCATTATTCGCGCACCCCGAGGAATCCAGGGCAATGAAATTCTAGATATATTGTTTGTTGGTCTGCCATTATTCGCCGCACCCCGAGGGATCCAGGGCAATGAAATTCTACTTATGTTGTTTGTTGGTCTGCCATTATTCGCCGCACCCCGAGGGATCCAGGGCAATGAAATTCTAGTTATGTTGTTTGTTGGTCTGCCATTATTCGCCACACCCCGTGGGATCCAGGGCAATGAAATTCTACTTATGTTGTTTGGTGGTCTGCCATTATTCGCCACACCCCGTGGGATCCAGGGCAATGAAATTCTACTTATGTTGTTTGGTGGTCTGCCATTATTCGCCGCACCCCGAGGGATCCAGGGCAATGAAATTCTAGTTATGTTGCTATCAGGTTTTCACAATGCAGTGAGTGCCGATGGTCTTTAAACATACAGGGCTAGCACCGTAAATCAGATGCATCAGTGCAGCGAAAAAGGTCCTTTGCCCCAGTGTATGTGATAACATATTGTTGTACACACGTCAAATCTGACTGACTGACTTCAACAACAATACATTCAGCATTCATTACCACATGTAATCAGTACATCAGAAAGAAGCAATGGTAAAACATACTTCAATGCTTGTGTTAGCTGTTTATTCATCCGCCTTGCACGTTTATCAATGGACTGAGGAGGTGGACTTGGTGACTGAATGCTGAAGGCTGTAATCAAGGATGTCTCAGCAACTTCTTCAGTGAAGTCTTCCTTGTTGCAAGAACTGTTGTGTAGACAAATGCAAGGAATCAAAAGCATGTATGTCATTCAACATTTGTCAGCAACCATGAGCAAATGCATTAATAAAGTTTCAATCAAAAATGTTCACTTTCTAGTGGCCTAAGTATTTACACTAGAAGGCAAAGAGGGGTATAAGACATACCACCTGCAATTTTGTGGCTAGAAAATCTTCATCAGCATTCAAACACATGGACAATGATACAACTACATAAACGTCTACATTTAATAACTGGTGGTTGGAATATCCATCAATAAATATGAAACACAAAAGCCTGCTAAATCACAGACAATATACAGAAAGCGACTGGTGGTTGGAATATCCATCAATAAATATGAAACACAAAAGCCTGCTAAATCACAGACAATATACAGAAAGCGACCCAAGAGTTGGGTTAGGCAAATGGTTGAAAGGCTGATAAAGAGGTTATAGTCAGGGGAGGTAATGTGGACAATGTGGATGCATCTGTGTTGAACATTAAGACGCGGAGAAACCAACTGAAATATCAGTTGCTTTTCCAGAGACTTGTAAACTCTTTCATTAAAAGCAAAAGACTAATAGCTATGACTTCCATATCAAAAATACCCTGGTGACCTTAACTTAAGCAGACTGTAGAATGTTCTTGAATGTTGAATTAGTAATCAACATCATAGCATTCAGGACACCCACATAAGTGCTCCGTCCCCATCTTCAGCAGCAAACGAAGAGTTCAAATTCCACCTTTCTGATCATGCTCTGTGAGTCAATTACAATCACAGCATGTGTGGACAGCTGATTCTCAAGTCAGGGGAAGGCAGCAGTGATAGCCTCCACCTCCATTCTCAAACTAGGCGTTGTGATATCTTATGCCAGCTTTGTTGCACTAAGCGATGCCCATTTGCCTTTGACACTTTACTATAAACCCCCATGCACTTCGTGTGCTCCTCAACAGAGAGCCATCTGTATAGATCATCACATCACTTGGGCGGGAATTGTCATGAATCTGTTGAACTTCTGATTCTGCAGCACCAGTTGGCATTCATGTCCCAAAGTGATTAGAACCCTACACAAGTCTGTAACTTGCTCTGATACTTTGACCCACTCGTCATCTCGCACAAATTTATCAAGCCTGCACACATGACTGATTGTGTCTTCAGCTTGCGCCAAGACCTTAATTTTTTAGTCTGTAGCTCTACCCAGGGCATCATGCAGGAGGTGCTTCTTGTCCGCAGCTACTCTGAGATATGACTTTTCTTACAGAACTTTGAGCCTATATGCAGCAGTAGGCAGTGCAAGTATAAACTGCATACATACTACCAGGGAATCTCTTGTGCATCCCAGAATTACCTGCATGGTTAAGCAGACTGTTTGATAATGTAGCGTAGTGATTTCAGTCAAAGATGTCAGGGAAAATAAGGGCCAGTGTGATGTATTTGAGGAGATACTCTGTACCTCACTATGGATGCCAGAAGGTTCTAGGCTGGTTTTACAGATCCTTATGCAAGAATCCTGACATTCACCCTCTTTGTGTGGTAAAGATATTGGCTCATTTCGACTTAAACTAAGCTAGCAGGGGATCTCGGAGTTGGTGGCCCTCGGAGATGAGGTGTCCAGAAACCTGTGGGTCTCAGTGCCCCACCCCCTCCCAAATGCATTGGTGATAAAGACCAACAAACACTCATTTGGAACATGAGTGAAATCCACTGGACAAATATCCTACAATATGATCAGACTTGGTTCAAACATCTGTCAACCGAAAGTCCTACTGAAGTCCTGATTAGGCTCAAATGTCCATCAATCAAGCATCCTGTGGCATTACAGCAAAGTGTTTCCATGTTTGATTATCTAAGAGTCAAATGTTTACTGTGTGACAGGCAAGGTCCAGATGTCGACTACTATTGACCCACTCGTCTGAGTGTCGGGACCAAAGGTTTGACCGCCAAATGTCCTATTGTTTGACAGAAACGGTTCAGATTGATCATAAATTGTCCTACTGTTTAAATATCCGCTACCACTGGCCCTCCTTGTTAGAGTGTCAGGAACAGCATGAATGTTGTTCAAGTGCCAGAATTAGGTCTTTGCTTGGATAGTTCTGCAGGTTATTTCTGTGCTGACTTCATGGTTATCATGAGCCCATCTAGTATAATCTCTGAACCTTTTCAGTGTTACCCCTTCTGCTTAATGTGTACACTCCTCACCCCTTCTGCTTAATGTGTACACTCCTTACCCCTTCTGCTTAATGTGTACACTCCTTACCCCTTCTGCTTAATGTGTACACTCCTTACCCCTTATGCTTAATGTGTACACTCCTTACCCCTTCTGTGTACACTCCTTACCCCTTCTGTGTACACTCCTTACCCCTTCTGCTAAATGTGTACATTCCTTACCCCTTTTGTTTAATGTGTACACTCCTTACCCCTTCTGTTTAATGTGTACACTCCTTACCCCTTCTGTTTAATGTGTACACTCCTTACCCCTTCTGTTTAATGTGTACACTCCTTACCCCTTCTGTTTAATGTGTACACTCCTTACCCCTTCTGTGTACACTCCTTACCCTGTCTGCTAAATGTGTACATTCCTTACCCCTTCTGTTTAATGTGTACACTCCTTACCCCTTCTGTTTAATGTGTACACTCCTTACCCCTTCTGTTTAATGTGTACACTCCTTACCCCTTCTGTTTAATGTGTACACTCCTTACCCCTTCTGCTAAATGTGTACACTCCTTACCCCTTCTGTTTAATGTGTACACTCCTTACCCCTTCTGTTTAATGTGTACACTCCTTACCCCTTCTGCTAAATGTGTACACTCCTTACCCCTTCTGTTTAATGTGTACACTCCTTACCCCGTCTGTTTAATGTGTACACTCCTTACCCTGTCTGCTTAATGTGTACACTCCTTACCCCTTCTGTTTAATGTGTACACTCCTTACCCTGTCTGTTTAATGTGTACACTCCTTACCCCTTCTGTTTAATGTGTACACTCCTTACCCTGTCTGCTAAATGTGTACACTCCTTACCCCTTCTGCTTAATGTGTACACTCCTTACCCCTTCTGTTTAATGTGTACACTCCTTACCCTGTCTGTTTAATGTGTACACTCCTTACCCCTTCTGTTTAATGTGTACACTCCTTACCCCTTCTGCTTAATGTGTACACTCCTTACCCCTTCTGTTTAATGTGTACACTCCTTACCCTGTCTGCTAAATGTGTACACTCCTTACCCCTTCTGTTTAATGTGTACACTCCTTACCCCTTCTGTTTAATGTGTACACTCCTTACCCCTTCTGCTTAATGTGTACACTCCTTACCCCGTCTGCTAAATGTGTACACTCCTTACCCCTTCTGTTTATGTGTACACTCCTTACCCCTTCTGTTTAATGTGTACACTCCTTACCCCTTCTGCTTAATGTGTACACTCCTTACCCCTTCTGCTTAATGTGTACACTCCTTACCCCTTCTGCTTAATGTGTACACTCCTTACCCCTTCTGCTTAATGTGTACACTCCTTACCCCTTCTGCTTAATGTGTACACTCCTTACCCCTTCTGCTAAATGTGTACACTCCTTACCCCTTCTGTTTAATGTGTACACTCCTTACCCCTTCTGTTTAATGTGTACACTCCTTACCCCTTCTGTTTAATGTGTACACTCCTTACCCCTTCTGCTTAATGTGTACACTCCTTACCCCTTCTGCTTAATGTGTACACTCCTTACCCTGTCTGCTTAATGTGTACACTCCTTACCCCTCTGCTTAATGTGTACACTCCTTACCCCTTCTGTTTTAATGTGTACACTCCTTACCCCTTCTGTTTAATGTGTACACTCCTTACCCCTTCTGTTTAATGTGTACACTCCTTACCCCTTCTGTTTAATGTGTACACTCCTTACCCCTTCTGCTTAATGTGTACACTCCTTACCCCTTCTGTTTAATGTGTACACTCCTTACCCCTTCTGTTTAATGTGTACACTCCTTACCCCTTCTGTTTAATGTGTACACTCCTTACCCCTTCTGTTTAATGTGTACACTCCTTACCCCTTCTGCTTAATGTGTACATTCCTTACCCCTTCTGTTTAATGTGTACATTCCTTACCCCTTCTGTTTAATGTGTACACTCCTTCCTGCTAAATGTGTACACCCTTACCCCTTCTGTTTAATGTGTACACTCCTTACCCCTTCTGTTTAATGTGTACACTCCTTACCCCTTCTGTTTAATGTGTACACTCCTTACCCTGTCTGCTTAATGTGTACACTCCTTACCCCTTCTGTTTAATGTGTACACTCCTTACCCCTTCTGCTTAATGTGTACACTAATTACCCCTTCTGCTTAATGTGTACACTAATTACCCCTTCTGCTTAATGTGTACACTCCTTACCCCTTCTGTTTAATGTGTACACTCCTTACCCCTTCTGTTTAATGTGTACACTCCTTACCCCTTCTGCTAAATGTGTACACTCCTTACCCCTTCTGCTTAATGTGTACACTCCTTACCCCTTCTGTTTAATGTGTACACTCCTTACCCCTTCTGTTTAATGTGTACACTCCTTACCCCTTCTGTTTAATGTGTACACTCCTTACCCCTTCTGTTTAATGTGTACACTCCTTACCACTTCTGTTTAATGTGTACACTCCTTACCCCTTCTGCTTAATGTGTACACTCCTTACCCCTTCTGCTTAATGTGTACACTCCTTACCCCTTCTGTTTAATGTGTACACTCCTTACCCCTTCTGTTTAATGTGTACACTCCTTACCCCTTCTGTTTAATGTGTACACTCTTACCTCTTATGCTAAAATTGAACACTCTAACTGCTATTGCTTTTTTGTCAAAACCGAAAATTATATTATTGCCTCTAACTTAATTGGTGACAATGTTTTCAATTACTGTCATTGTTTAGGCTAAGTACTTTTTTTTGTGTCTTCTGCCCTTTCAGGTGTCAAAATGTTTGTTGATTCTTGTCATTGTTTAGTGTCAAGTCTTTTCTTTTTACTGAAATGGTTACACTATGAATTTTTTTTAATACTTGATGATTTCTTGTTATGAGTACTACATTAGTGTGTGCATATCTTACAAAATATTTATCTGTGTTCACAAACATACACATCTTGAATATATTTATCTGTGCTCATATATAAACATACAATAGTCTATTTGTCTGACACGCTAGTGAATGGCGCAGTGGGTCGATTCTATTTTCCCACAACGCACCATGGAACCCACAAAGGGATGAAGATGAGGCTCACTTATTCCCAGCTGCAGATACCACTTTATCTTTCATTTTCTGTCAATCTGATTTGCCAAGAAATTTAATCAGCATATTGCATACACACACAATGTATATGTCAGACACACATTCACGTCAACAAGGATATAAACACATACCTCAACATGCCCCCACTCTCTGCTCTACCAGCACTAACCGTCTGGCCTGGCATCTCTGAACATGTCCCTGCAAGAATATGAAACATTCAGAAAACAGAACCATGACTACCTGTAGCTTTTATTTCAGATTGTATGATAAAGTGTAACTTTTTAACACTTCAATTCTATCAAGTTGTGCTCTTAAGCTACACAAGGTTTGAACTGAAAGTGATGAGCTAATAACTTTTTATACCCCAAAAAAGTTAACATTATGTTATCGATGTTATGTTATCAACTGAAATCACTGCACACTAAAGGAAGCAGAAGACCTCAACTCCGATGAACAAGTGATATAAAAACTGGCAGAATCTGAGACCTAGCAAGAAACAATTGACCCGAGGTACACAGCGTGGCAGTTGTGTGTACGTATACATGTCTGCCTGTCAATGTGTGAGTGCAATGTTGCAACGATTTGCTTGGACATGGCTGACAAGACAAGGTCATAAACTGATAGCAGCACTGGAGTTTGCTGTATCCTCAATGAGCCAGAGACAGATTTCAACCGAATTCAGTTAAATTATCTGAATTTGTCTGAATATTAACATTATGTGAACCTTAACCCTACCAAACCTAAGGCCCTGAACCTAACTGCCCCCTATACCTGAGCTCCTGGGCATTAACACGAAAAAACCAATATGATATACACAAATATTAATTACATGCAAACAAGCAGTTAGAATAAGTTGAAACTTGGAGACATTGTAGAAAATAGGTTAACCTTTCATCTAGCGCCAATATTCCACCTTTGTGTGCCAATCCACTCAGGAGGATCAGTTTCACAAAATGAATACAAGTGTTGCTGTTTGAAGGAAACGCCCCCTTCTCCTACTATCAATCTATTTCTAGATTTATAATTTTTCAAGATTCTCCTTATTATTTGAGCTCTCTCACTTCAACTGTGAATGTATTCTTCATGAAATTATGACTCCGCATAGTCTGAATAAACCAAAGTATCGATCACCTGTTGGACTGTGAAAATCCTAGACCTACTTCCCTTTCCTGTCGAAGTGCTTGGTTCATCAGCCACTCGTCTTATTGTGAATTTTCAGAAATTTTTTCACGTAAAACAATAAATTTAATCCAAACAAGTGCGGTCGGACATCTAGGAAGACTATTCACGATGTCTGATGAAGATTGGCTAGTTATTTTTAGTCTGTGATGCATCTTTTTCATGTACAACGCAAATTGTCCAAAAACTAAGGACAGCGGACTAGCAGGGTTAAAGCTGTTTGAATTTTAAATTATCTAGATTTAAAATTATCTGACTCTCAAAAAAGCCTAAACATTATTTCACTTTTTAACAGTCTATGCCATAACAAACATGGACATGAAAAACTAACTAAAAAGACTCTTGGCTGACTAACAACAAAAGTATGGAATATAATTTTTCCAGTTTTGTGTCTCTGTGCGGGCGCAATGATAGGGATACTAATATTCTGTTTATTTCTCTCTGTGTGAATGTACCACAAAGCTCTAAAATACGCATAGATCATAAATATCACAAATATTACTCATAAAAACACCCGTAATAATAATAACTCTTTATAATAATGAAGGACCTTTTTCTAGGCCTTTGGTGCATTGACATATAAGCTAGACCTGTATCTTTGGTGCATCGACATATAAGTTAGACCTACATCTTTGGTGCATCGACATATAAGCTAGACCTGTATCTTTGGTGCATCAACATATAAGTTAGACCTGTATCTTTGGTGCATCAACATATAAGCTAGACCTATATCTTTGGTGCTTCAACATATAATCTAGACCTGTATCTTTGGTGCATCGACAAATAAGCTAGACTGATATCTTTGGTGCATTGACATATAAGCTAGACCTGTATCTCTGGTGCATTGACATATAAGCTAGACCTATATCTTTGGTGCATCGACATATAAGCTAGACCTGTATCTTTGGTGCATCAACATATAAGCTAGACCGATATCTCTGGTGCATCGACATAAAGCTAGACCTGTATCTCTGGTGCATTGACATATAAGCTAGACCTATATCTCTGGTGCATTGACATATAAGCTAGACCGGTATCTTTGGTGCATCGACATATAAGCTAGACCTATATCTCTGGTGCATCAACATATAAGCTAGACCTGTATCTTTGGTGCATTACCATATAAGCTAGACCTGTATCTTTGGTGCATCAACATATAAGCTAGACCTATATCTTTGGTGCATTGACATATAAGCTAGACCTATATCTTTGATGCATCAACATATAAGCTAGACCTGTATCTTTGGTGCATCAACATATAAGCTAGACCTGTATCTTTGGTGCATCAACATATAAGCTAGACCTGTATCTTTGGTGCATCAACATATAAGCTAGACCTGTATCTTTGGTGCATCGACATATAAGCTAGACCTATATCTCTGGTGCATTGACATATAAGTTAGACCTATATCTTTGGTGCATTGACATATAAGCTAGACCTATATCATTGGTGCATCAACATATAAGCAAGACCTATATCTCTGGTGCATCAACATATAAGCTAGACCTGTATCTCTGGTGCATCAACATATAAGCTAGACCTATATCTTTGGTGCATCAACATATAAGCTAGACCTGTATCTTTGGTGCATCAACATTTAAGCTAGACCTGTATCTTTGGTGCATCAACATATAAGCTAGACCTGTATCTTTGGTGCATCAACATTTAAGCTAGACCTGTATCTTTGGTGCATCAACATATAAGCTAGACCTGTATCTTTGGTGCATCAACATATAAGCTAGACCTGTATCTTTGGTGCATCAACATATAAGCTAGACATGTATCTTTGGTGCATCAACATATAAGCTAGACCTGTATCTTTGGTGCATCGACATATAAGCTAGACCTATATCTCTGGTGCATCAACATATAAGCTAGACCTATATCTTTGGTGCATCAACATATAAGCTAGACCTGTATCTTTGGTGCATCAACATTTAAGCTAGACCTGTATCTTTGGTGCATCAACATATAAGCTAGACCTGTATCTTTGGTGCATCAACATATAAGCTAGACCTGTATCTTTGGTGCATCAACATATAAGCTAGACCTGTATCTTTGGTGCATCAACATATAAGCTAGACCTGTATCTTTGGTGCATTAACATATAAGCTAGACCTGTATCTTTGGTGTATCAACATATAAGCTAGACCTATATCTCTGGTGCATCAACTTAAGCTAGACCTATATCTCTGGTGCATTGACATATAAGCTAGACCTGTATATTTGGTGCATTAACATATAAGCTAGACCTGTATCTTTGGTGCATTAACATATAAGCTAGACCTGTATCTTTGGTGCATCAACATATAAGCTAGACCTGTATCTTTGGTGCATTGACATATAAGCTAGACCTATATCTTTGGTGCATCAACATATAAGCTAGACCTGTATCTTTGGTGCATTGACATATAAGCTAGACCTGTATCTTTGGTGCATCAACATATAAGTTAGACGTATATCTTTGGTGCATCGACATATAAGCTAGACCTGTATCTTTGGTGCATTGACATATAGGCTAGACAGATATCTTTGGTGCATCAACATATAAGCTAGACCTGTATCTTTGGTGCATTGACATATAGGCTAGACAGATATCTTTGGTGCATTGACATTTGAGCTATACCTTTATCTTTGGTGCATCGATATGTAATAAGCTAGACTAATATCTTTTGTGCATCGAAATTTAAGCTAGATCTATATCTTTGGTGCATCAACATAAAAGCTAGACCTATAGCTTTATAGACAAACTGGCGCTCTATAGGTAATGTTGCTGACCATCTTCCCTTCCCAAGTCATTACCTGTACCCATTTTAGGCTGGGTCAACCTGAAAATCAAAGTCAGTTTTGAAAGAAAATCTGCCGCTATGCAGATTTTAACCATTGATTTCTGGGCCAGCAGGCAAGTGTCCTGGCTTATGCTATTAATTATTATTAAAAACAACAGATGTTTTTCTGTTTTTGAAAAAAATAAATTTGTAAGCATCAAATAATGATGCAACAATGAACTAACTGAATAAAAAGAGTCAATGAAGTTTGAAAGTAAAGATCCCTTTACGCGCCAGTGATACATCGGGCACATGAGGCTAGACCTATATTTGTACAGCCTAATCAGCCCTCGATGGGTGATGTGGTCAACATCACACCAGCCGCCTTTACTTCTCAGGGCTTTACGTGGTACCATTTAAGGCTGGGCTAACCCGGAAACAAAAGCAAATCTAAAACAAAATCAGGCTCCATGCAGATTTTTACCCACAACCTTTGAATTTGCAGGCAAGCATCTAGTCACTGTACCACGGCGGCTCCCAATGAAATTATTACTGTATCTAAATATGTTGACCAACCTACCATTTGTGACTGCCAAGCTGGCAACTTCTGCGTCTGGACCAACAACTGCAGAATCAGGTCCGTACAATAAAGTCTTGAACCCAGCCACAGCCTGGGAGTAAACTGCAGCCCTCTGTGGTAATGTGTTGTCACTTGCCGCTATTTCATGTTTATGTTTGGCTAGCCCACGCCTGGCTGTTCTACGAGGCAGCGACACTGCCGTTAGAGAGTTCTCAGTGACTGTGCTAACATCGGTGTATTGTGGAGAATGCAACTCATTGGAATGACTGTCCGCAGGACTCCCTGCTTTTGCATTATCGACAGAAACAGAGCAAATAGAATCTTTGGAAATAACCAAGCTGTCATCTTCATCAATTATAATAACTGACTTTTTCCCTTGTCTGGAAGACTTTCTGTTTTGTTTTGCTTGTGGTTTCTGTTTTCCGACACATCGTCTTGCAGTTCTGCCGCCACGTTTTTGGGCAGGCTGACTTTCTTGAAATTCTACATCAGAGTCTACTAAAATGACATCCTCACTTGTATTCATGATAAATACACCAAAGATTTTCCTGCAACCTGGAATTAAGTAAGCAACAGATGAAATATGGGCATTCTTGTGGAACTATGAGCAAATTATCCAAGAAAAAGACAACTGTATAATTTGTCACTATTCAATACAAAAGTTACTGACATCAGTTACAGTCGTGCCTTTATAAATATCCAATTTCCTATTTGTTTCAAATGTTGCTTGGTAAACAACTTTAGTGTGGAAGATGATTTGTGTGCTAGAACTTGTATCAGTCAAAATAAGTCATGGCACAGCATGCTACCCTTGTCTACCTCTATTGTTAATGAAGGAAATATTTACCAAGGTCATGGGTTCCTTTCACGGTGGTTGTCGTGAAGTGAATGAACCCACTCCTGCACATTAAACTATTCGTGACGTTGGCGCCACTAGCGGGCAGGTCACATTTCAAATATAGACCCGTCTGGTGGGTAAATAGTCCATCATATTTATTTACACCTTTATCTGATGAAACAGACATTTCTATTTCTTCTGGATCTCTTGTGAAGTCTTCAATTTCAAATTTGCAGTTGTGGGGTAAAGATTCTCTGTACTAATAATTCTTTTTTCCGAGAAACCGATTCGGTCCTCGGGGTATTGATACGGTAACTTCTTTCTCAGAAAGGATGCTAAAATTTCCCTCTCATTCACTGCCAACCTCCAGAGAATCCAGACGCATTTGCCTTTGTGCCTGATTTCTACTTTGAAAAGTACCAGTTAATTTCTGGAGGAAATCCTCAGCTTGGGTAAGTTGATTTTAGTGTGCGAGTACCATGTATTTATATTTATACATTTAACCTGCTGCTGAGTAGAGGAATGATTCAGCTATGGGGCACTGCTGAACGAGACTGTTCTTGGTGTCAATCTTCTCCTGGACAACTAAATCAACCTTGTCCCTTTTTAAACTGTGATTAGGTGTCCTACCTACACTAATGTTAAAATAAAGGAATTAATCTGACAGCCTGGCCAGGTTTCTAACGAACTGGTGGGAATTTTGAATAAAAGCATTGGAGCTGGCCAGATAATTGGGTCAGCGTTCAGTCTGTGCACAGCGGGCGAAACACAGTGGCGTCCGGGTTATTTATAGATCACTCTCAACACAGGTCAACTACGACCAGACTGTGATATATACATATATGATAATTGGTGATAAAAGTGCAGATGTGGGTGTGGAGAGATGATGATATATGTTTGAGAGAGTCTGTCTGTCTCCACTGTTGTACCCGTCTCCTGTTCCTGTTCGACCGACAGAGAGAAATTTGGAGAATTCTGCTGTCTCATTATCCTGGAGCTGTCCTCTGAGTGATTGCCAGGGGTGGAGGGTAAATAAATGAGCTGAGCATGTAACCTCTGAGATGACTACTTATTCTGAGTTCCTTCCTGATACAGGATGATATCTCCTTGGAGGCCAGGCAGTAAATCAGCAGTCTAGAAAAGTACCAACCACCAAAGTGCCCACTACTAAGTTGCCAACCACCAAATTACCCACTACCAAACCATCACCATGGCAGACAGCCAAAGTGTAGGCATCTGCTTACAGTCAGCCCATTTGTCCTTCACACCAGTGTGCCTTCTTCAGGAGCGTGTTGGGTTCCAATAACTGAAAGGCTGTTGTTCCAGACCACCAGGACCAACCTTGGTCTAGTCTACCCTCTTCAGGAACCTGTTGGGCTCCAGAATTAAACTCTATGTGACAGTTTCTGCCAGATCAACCATTGAAGTGAACATTCTCAGAAGGCCAGCCTGTTCCAGTATCATGAACTGATAAGTGCAGTGACTCCAACCTGGAATAGGAACAGATAAGTAGTGAACTCTATGGTTATGCCGTGTTCTATATTTACAGGTCCACGCCAAATCACCATGATGATGTCAGGCGGCCTCTAAGAGATTCATCAATGTCCGTCAAGGGAATTTCAGTGTTGATATTGCAATATTCCAATGCTTTTTAATATCTTCTCTTGAGTCATATATCATGTTGATGTTGAACTTATTACATGTAATTCCAAGTTTTCACTATTGACTGGAGTGTCAATCATTCACTGTTCTTAGCTGTCTAAAGTACATGTATGTTTAATTAATAATCTTCATCTGTGTTAATATGGCTGTGACAGTACACTATCATAGCCTGGGGGATATCTTTTTATAGTAGTGGGGGCGTCCAGCCAAGTTGCGCCTAGGATTATTAGATATTCTGTAGTGCCATAACTTGAGTTGCCCTACTCCTGAAATAGGTTGGGCGTATATTGGTTACGGGATTCCCTTTAGACCAATACGAGCCGGCGCCTCAAAATTATTCTATTTCAGAGTGCTGTTGGTTTGTAAGGAGAAATCCTTAAATCAGGCACGCGACACGAGCGGTATGTGACAGTGGTGCCATTCAGTTCACGGGTGCAATTTTTAAGGAGATCCATGTTGACCCTCGCCGGAGCTATGACATTTGTGCTTTGTGTGATGCTTTTGGCAGGTGGCTAGCCATTCTGTGGAGAGGGACTGAGCCATATGGGATAAAACCCGTTGCAATAAAGTGGATGATTGATCCTCTCGACTTCCAACTTTTAACTTTATACTAATGACTTGAGTAAACATCTTTCCTATTGCAACATATGCCTGTGAGACCTGGACACTTACTAAACAAGCTGAACAGAAAATAAAAGCCTTTGACTACAAATATTATAGACAGGTTCCCAAAATATCACGAGTAAAGAAAAAATCAAATGCATCCATACTTCAAGAGCTGAATACTGAAGAAGGTTGGCTATTATTAATATTATTAAAGACTAGCTGTACTCGGCCATGCGGTATTGTGGCTTAGTTTGGTTAAATGGAAAAGAAAGAAAATAGAAATCAAACGTGTCTAATAAGGTTAATGTCGCAATCATTGTCTGCGCAGAAATGAAGATAAGTCTCCGATGCCCAAACACCATCACCTTACCGGCGGTCAAACCCAGGTCTACGGCATGTTAGCCCTAAGGTGTAACCGCCCAACAACAACAACTACTACTACTTTGAGTGGGTAAGGCAGTTTCTGTGTCTTAAATCTCTCTCAGTTAACAGTTTATGTTACCCCATCCCACCCCCTCCCCAATTCACCGACTACTCTTTCCATCACCGAAGTAGTTGGAAAAAACCCAAGTGAAAAGCAACGAAAACAGGAAAAATACACCATAATTACGAAATGAACGCTATGGTAAACAACACAGCTTAATTCCAACGTAATGTCAGACAAAATAATTAAATCAAAATGAAAATGAATGGAAATCTATGAAAATTCAACGTAACCATGCAATCGGAAAGTTTGAAATGAAATCATAAAGTATGCGAAATGGGAAAATTTAATGATCCACTGGTTCACTCGCATACCTGCAGTCTTTAAAAAATATATGATCATGTGATCACTATGTCATGCCCAGTGGGAAGCACCGTGTCCTACGCCAATAATCTTGAAACAACTGTTTTTAATATTCCAACTACTTCTATCTCTCTCTCTCAGAAGGGATTTAAAATTCAACATGTGAAGAAATTAACTGTAAATGACCCTAGCATCCGTGTCCACCCAGACTAAAATGGGTAACAGGAATGGTAATAAGATGTAAATGCGGCCGGTGTAATATTTACCAAAGCATCACTCAAGTCTCAGTACAATTACTACTACCACCACAACAACTTGGCTATCCTCCGAATAACGGTCCCAAATTATCGAGGCCGAAAATATACCCTTCCAGTAACAGGGCCTCAGTCACGCGTCAATATATGGGGTATATGCCTGGGAAGAGAGAAAGAGGAAGGCCGAGAAAGGCCAAAGAAAAAATGGGTGCACGATGTGGCAGATGATCTCCAGATGGGTGTATCGGACACGGACATCTTGCTTGTGATCGAGAAGTTTTTCCGAAAGGTTGTTATGGGAGCAAGGGTCTGCAAAGGACGTGCTACTGACTGACTGACTGACTGACTGACTGACAGGCATCCCCAGACAGCGTTAATCCTTATAAAATACAATTCAGCATTAATTCAACATGCATCTTTTTTGCATGTATTTGGAAAGTTTTAACTTCAACTGTTGTTTAAATAAAATGGCCTTAAATTTACATTCTCAACCCTTCCTTTACCTTTCAGTTTATTATTAAGTTTACCCCCTGTGAGCTGAGCACTTCTGGTATCAATTATAATATTATTGACACGATAGTTGTTTAATATGTATGATGTACATTGAGTCATACATACAGATAAAGAAACTTTAAGAAAGGTACTAAAATGTTTCAAACATTGTTTGATGAAAAATTAATATTATGTAATAGTAATAGTATTTATTAGGTCTGGTCACGATCATAATCATAGGATCAGACATAGTGACCAGAATACTGAATGCGAATAAATGGAAAATAAATACGCAACACAGTAGAAATCAATGTAAACAGTTTGGACAACATATGATGATAAAGTATGTATGATAAATAAGTTAAGTATGAAGTATGAGTATGTCAGTATGAACTATGAGTATGAAGGTATGAAGTTTATAGAGTGCCCATCCTTAAAGCAAAGTAATTAAATATTTGAAATACAATACAATCGGTAATGACTGCTGTCGCTCCCCCTGTGTGGGTTCCGGGGCCCCATTGTGGGGAAAACAAGAATAGACCCACTGCCTCCCCAAAAGCATGTCGTAAGAGTCGACTAATTGGGGAGCTTCCTTTGAAGTCGGAGTGCATCTGCCGGAGAGGCAAGGAACCAACAGTCTGTATTCAAGAGAATGAGATCTGTAAAACTGATGCACACGCAACACTCAGGTTCTGGAGCGGGACTGCAGTTCAGTAGTGGACGATCAACCAGAACTTTCCGCCAGAGTGTACAGCTGGTGAACGCGAAGAAGAAGAAGACTGCTGTCGCTCATTTAAAGTTAACAGAATTCTCAAATTACTACTACACCGCCCCCCCCCCCCCCCCACAAATTGCCTCAATCATTACATGCAGAAATGTTACAAATC